CCTCCCCGTGACTATGTGTACCTTTCAATTCAAATATTAACTACCACATTGTAATGGTATTAGAAATACTGATTCATTGATTCATCTAGTATTTCTATTGTGCCTACAATATAATAACTATTTTTGGTTCTTTATTGATTCATCTGATAAATATTTCACTTGTGTTATTAACAGCTAAGCACTTAACCACCAGGGCTCCTCATTGTGTTCTTCCTCTCCCAACTGCAAAGCATACAGAAGTGATTAAGATAAAGTTTCTCCCCTCAACAAGCTTGCTTTAGGTGTGAGGAAAAAAGTGACCATCTCAATGCTTCAGTGTAGGTACTATAAGACCATCTGCAAACATATGACATGTGAAGAACAAATCTTTATACTTTATATGCATATTATTACTGTTTTTCCTTCTTGCTAAACCAGATTTTATCATTATATCACCCATAATACCTTTCCTCTGGGGTGGTGGTGGCTGTTGTCAGACACCATCGAGGTCAGTTATGACGTTATGTGTTACAGAATGAAATTGTAGGAACCAAATAAATAAGTTAGTGATGGATAAATTTAGAGCTTTTGGAGAGGAGAAAACACAAGTTTCAGAAATAAAATTATACTCTGGCAGTATCACTTTAAGTGCCAAAGGGTAAATAATTTTAAATACAAATTCAAAGATGAGAGCCTCTGAGGCTTCTTTTTGGCATAGGAAAAAACCGAACAAGGTAAAGCTAAGAGCTGACAAGAAGCCCAAGGAGTGTATTGGTTAAGCATCCGGCTGCTAACATCAAGGCTTGTAGTTTGAATAGAACAGTGGCTCCATGAAAGGGAATTAAAGCGGTCAGCTCTGGAAAAGACTTGTCGTTGTTGTTGTTGTTGTTGTAGTTAGGTCCCATAGAGTTTGCTCCCACAACCTTGTTGTGCAAGAAAAGGGAACTCTGCCCAATCTTGTGCCATCTTCTCCATCTCTGCTGTGTCCACTGTGGAAGTAACCATGTTAACTCATCTCATTGAGAGTCTTCCTCTCCTTCATTGACCCTATTTTTCTACCTGATATCTTTAGATTCCCTGATAACATGATCCAAATATCTGAGACAATTCATATCCTTGGAAATCTTACGTGACAATTCTACCCTGCCCTACAGGGTCTCTTTGAGTTGGAACTGACTTGACAGTGAGTTTTGATAAGCGCTGACACTGAAATGGCAGGTTCCATGCTTAAACTTAACATCATTTTTTTCTATCTGTATTATCTTTGACAGATGAAGAAATGACGAGGCAGAGAAGATTACTAGACATCCCAAGAACATTAGAGGAGGTTACATGCCAAGCTAGTATCCCACAGCCAAGCTCTTTCCCACCAGACACTAGGATTTCACCTTACAAAGGCTCTGCAGGAGTGAAAGGCCCCAAGCAGGTAGAGGAAATCAGTAAAGAAATCTGAGACAACTGGATAGATAAGCACCTCACTGCAGAAATGGTCATTTGCGTTCATAAAGACTCAAAATGGGAGTTAAGGAAATATCTTTCTTAATTTTTCAAGAATTTAGACTGAGAATTCTTTTAAATTGTGGATCTTGCATTTAGTACAAATTTCAAAACATAAGCTGTCTTCCAATTCTCAGTATGTTCAATGTCACGTAGGGCCTAGAATTGTCACACAGGACACCTGATCCACATCATTTCCACATCTTGTTCTGTATCTTAGGAACCCTTGTGGGGAAGCTCTGGTGGCCTAGTGGCAGGAAGCGGCACTGGAATCCTGAAGACACGCAGTTCAAATCCACCAGCTGCTCCTCAAAAAAAGAATGGGCACTCTCCTGCCACTGGAGGGTCAGCTATGGGTCTGTTCCGACTCAACAGTACAAAACAACAACAGCACCACGGTTAAGTGATCCACTGATAATCAACAGTGGTTTGAATTCACTAGCTGTTCTGCAGGAAAAAGATGTGGCTGCCTGATCCCCTAAAGATAATGGGATGCTGTTCAATCCATTCTGATACACAGCAGCCCTATGTACATAACGAGAAACCCTACCTGATCCTGTGACATCCACACATTCAGTGCCCACTGCTGCAGCTGCTGTGCCAATCCATCTCCCTGAGGGTCCTTTCTCTTTATCATTGACTCCACTTTACCAAGAGTGAGTTCCTACAGCTTGAAAGCACTACAGAGTCATTGCACTCTACCATACTGGGTCACTATTAGTCAGAATCTACTTAACAGGAATAGATTTCGTTTGCTTTGGTTTAGGCTGTATCTTGCTAACTGGCACTCCTCTAAGGTTCCTTCTCCCGAGGTAGGCATGAAGAGAGCTACCAGAAGGGCATCTGATATTTGCACAGACCCACTGCCACCCATTCTGGCCACAAGGGCCCTATAGGACACAGAACAGTTGCATAGGTTTCCAGGGCTGAAATGTTTCCAGGAAAAGACTGTCATGGCTTTCACCTATGGTGGCATCCAACTACCAACATTTTTGTTAAGCAGAACTCTTAATCAGAACACTAATAGGGCTCCTTGTGTGGTATTTAGAACCAATAAACCCAACAGAAGGGTGAGAGGTTCAAATCCATTAGGTGCTCCATGATAGACTCTGGACAGTCTCCTCCGGTAATGATTTAGCTCTCAGAAACCTGATGGAGGATTGCTATGAGTTGGAATGAACTTGCCAGTAGTAGGTTAAATCTGAATAGTGCTTCAGGCTGCTCTTATCTGAATTCCTCCTTACAGCTCGTTATATTTTCTTTCCGCAAAGGAAGGCTGGAATAACATCAGCAAAGAACTAAGGTCTCACAGAGAACAGGAAATGGATATTAGGAAAAAAGAAGAATGGAAAAGACATGATGTGTGGTCCATGGGAGCCCTCCCAGACATGCCTACGTGCACCTCTGCCATGCACAATGTCCACTTGAGATTTGATGGCAGAAACGTCACAGGGTAATGAAAATTGTATATATAAATCCCTCTCCTTTTCAGTGGTCAGCTTGAAGAAAAGAGGATGTAGAAAGGCAGAAAGTGGCATTTTTGTCTACTTTTCATTATTCAGAGAAAGAACAGTTGACCAGTCAACTTCAAACTTTCAAATTCAAACTTCTTAGCAAGCTTATCTGAGCTTACACTTCCTTGATCTGAACAACTTTGAATAAAATATGAGATCTCTCAAAAAGTGACACTTGGAAAGACACTATTCCATTAAAGAAGTGGACAGAGACTCAAGTAGGGACATTTTGTAAGCATATCTGGAATGAAAAGACAGACTTCTATTTCTTTTTTTTTTTTCTTTCTTTTTTTTTTTAGACCATCAACCAAGATTCCTGCTTCTTTGCTCCTCAGTTCTAGCTGGCAGCCTGAGCACAAAACAGACAAAAAGTTCAAACATGTTTCACATTTTCTCACACTCTGATAGATGCTACGGGAGAGAAGGTTGAATTCAAGAAAGAAATCAGACTAAGGTTAATGTATAGGTTTAAATTATGCAGGCTAACGCCATCTTCATTTCCATAATGAGTTGAGTTAATTAGACTTCACTTTTGTAACGAACCAACTGGCAGGAGTGCAAGCTTTTATAAATGCTGATCTCGCCTCTGTCTGGGGTCTGGGACTTGGTAGTAGCAGCCTGTCCTCCTCTCCCACCTGAAAGATGACTAAGTGCTCTGGCCTTCCTTCCCAGGGTTCCTTCCATTCAGAGGTCAACTTGATAACACGTCCGTGAGGGCCGCTGAGGTAGCATCACATCTCTCATGACCCCATACATGCTCTGTCTGCTAAGAAGTAATTGCACACAGCCAAGAAACAAAAACAGACCATGCCACAGTTGGGTGATGTCCATGGGGCTGTCAAAATAACCTGAGAAAACAGGTAGCCAAAGATAGCAGAAAGCAAAGTGTGCAAAAGGAAAACATCTGTGATCAAAAAGAGCAGAAACAAAACCCCAACAACAGCTCCTTAATTAAGGAAAGGGGTTTATCACAAATCTATCCCTTTATGCTCTATTTTACCTTGAGAATGTACAGAAAATCCATTCATTCGGTGACAATGCTAAATCCTCAGTAAAAGAGCAGAGCAGGACCAATTTTTACCGAAGAAATGAACATTATATGTATTTTCAAATTTACCGACCCTCTCATGCACTTAACAACAATAACATCAACAGAGAGAGAAAGAGAGAGAGAGAGAGATCAGCTGGCCCAGCGAAGAGAAAATGATGTGACCAAGACAAAGGTGGGTGACTTTTGGTTTGTGGCCCTCCGGCCAGTCTTTCATTGTTTTTGTTCAGACATTCCTCTAGGTCGTATAGCCCTGGTGTACAAGTTGCCATCCCGCAGTCACTTGTGGTTGCTGTGAGGCTGAACACTGTGACACGGATGTGTCAAATGCGTTAATGGTTGGCTACAATGCGGACTGAGAGTGGGGTGGAGCTCCCCGATTAAACAAGCGTGGAAGGAGGAGTGGCGTCCATTTCCATAATAGCTTGCCTCTGGAAACGATATGAACTTGGAGAGAGGATGAAAGGCACCCAAGCGTCGAGGACACTCCTTCATAGGGTTGCTATGAGTCGCCAGCGACTTGACAGCACTTAACAACAACAACAACTCATGCTTTAACTTCTTAAGTATGTTATGTACATTATATGCATGTATGTGTTATTTTTATGGTGTATTATATGCAATAATACAGAAGGTCCTGCGTTTTACTCAAAGAAGTGATTACTTCTCCATTGCCTGCATTATACATATGTTTATGGTTGAACACAAGAACTCTTTAGAGGGACTGGAAACTCTCTGGGCCTTCTGTCATCCAGGTAAGAGGATGGTAACATTTTACAGGACTGTACTCTTGGGTCCAACCTTCTCAACATCCTTCCTCCTCCTCTGACCAGAGATCTGGAATAACCAAGTGGAAGGTATAGTCTATCCTCAACAATTTTTTTCTGCCTTATTACTGGAGGTCATTTTGCTTTCTTGTGCCTTCATCAAAGTATGTGCTTTGCTGGGACAAATGTTCCTACCTGGTCTCTTAGCCTCTCTTGGTGGCCCATGATTGCTGTGGCATGATGAGGGTACTTCTGTTTCAGATGTTCTAGGAAAGCTTCTCTCTTCCTGTCCATCTCAGATGTTTGCATTCCCAGGATTTCTTTGGAACTTCGGGCCCCCCCTAGAGTATGCCTCCTTGGGATATTGCGGGAAGACCTGGAAACTGAGACGTGGCCGTTTCCATTAGCAAGGCGATCCTTGTTTCTGCGACATTCTGCATCTTCTAATGAGGTTACATGTAGATTGCTTTTTCCTTTTTCTGAAAGCAAAAAAAAAGAAAAAAATACAGTTCACAATTAATGATTTCACACTAGAAGTCTCATTTACAGAACGCCAAGAGGGTTTCTGGCAGCTGTTAATGTATGACTGTAACTTCACAGATTCTTATTTTCTCCCCCCTTTTCTTATTTTGCAGAAAGGAAAGGGGAGAATCAACAATCAAAAGAAAAATGAAAAGTCGCACTTGAAAAATAAAGCTGTTGGAGTAAAATCTCTTCTGACTCTTTCTTCCCTGAGGTTATTCAGGGCAAAAACACTTAGCTAGACTGCTTGTTTGCAAGCAACTGAGCTGCCCCCTATTTCCTGTGTCATTTTAGAAAATTTAGCTCCAGTTATTCTGATTATTTCCTTGGTTTTAATTGCAGTTTTGACATAGTAACAGGAGAGCTATAAATTTTTATAATCTAAAGAAGATTTCTGAAGCCTGTGTTTTATCCCTGAGACCAAAAGTAACTATGTGGCCCATATATCAGTTGGATAATTACTGGCATATGAACCCTGTAAGATTCTAGCCGATGAACATAAAGGGGAGCTGTGGAGGAGTAGTCCATAGGGAATGTATGGTGCATTGAAAGGCCATGTCCCTCAATTGGTTCAAAACTACCACTGGTTCAGTGCTCCACAGGGAGGGGAAAAGGACAACATCCTCTATATTTACAGCCTCAGAAACGAAATATCAATGGTTCCTTTTAGATGGTAATGGTTTCCAGCATAACAAAAAAAGTCAAAGGATATCATTAGAGGTAATAATCGGGGGACATAAAGATTTGGACTTTATGTAAAACAGCAACAAGAGGAGAGATGTAGAGATGTGGTATATTTTCATAAGATCTAGGATATATTGCCTCTGACTGGGTCCTTAAGGGACAAAATTATTTCTGTTCAGAGCAGATCAAGTGAAAGAGCCAATGACAATCCTTAGAGAGCAGGATAAAACAAAACATCAAAGTGGTTGCCAATGAGCCCTCATGGTGACTCCGTATGTGTCAGAATAGAAACGGGCTCTGATTTCAACATCAAAAACATCCAGGTTTTCACGCTAGGCTCTTTCAGAAGCAAATCACCAGGCCTATCTTACAAACAGCAATTCTTAACGGGGAGCCAGCCTCCTAACTTTTCTGTTGGACTCCCAGAGTGAAGGGTGCACACTGTATCCTTTCCTTCGCTCTGAAAGGCAGCAAACTATCTCAGGAAGGAAGAGTCTAGTTACCTGAAAAAAGAGGTCACATCTTAAAAACCTTAGAACAAAGGGAGCTCTGGTGGCCTAGTGGCAAGACACTGCACTGCAATCCCAGAGGTATGTGGTTCAAATACCACCAGATGCTCTGCTGGAGAAGGAGGGGGCAGTCTCCTACTGTACCAGTCAGATCTGATTTGACAGTACACATAGTACAATAAAATTTAAAAAAAAAAAAACAAAACAAAACAAAAAACCTTGGAACAGCTGCAGAAAGCAATGAACATTTAGAAATCTTTGGGAAGCTGAGTAGACTTCAAGGTTCTCTGCTAGAAGCACGGTCATTATCACACAAGACGCAGGCAGGACATACTGTCCTTTGTCCAGGGAAGTCCCTTGACCTCAGGAATTCTGGTTTTAACATTAAACTTGAAATCTTAAAGTTAATGTCTCTCCATCTAATTTCCTTCACAAATAAAATTTAAATAGTTGGACTAACATTAGATAGGCAGAGACTTCTAGTTCTAAGTCCGTTAAATCTATTTCAAATCTTGGAAAACAGATATATGTGTACTCATGTTTACTGCAGCATTATTCACAAAATATGGAAGCAGTCTAAGTTCTGTCATTAACGGACTGGATAGAGTAACTGTGGTACATTCACACAATATGTATTGAACACAGTGGCACTGAAGACCTCATGAAATACTATACACCATGGACGACTGTAGAGGACATTATGAAAAGTAAGATAACTTGGTCATAGAAGGGCAAATACTGTATAAAAATAGAAAGGCTGGGGAGCTCTGGTGGCCTAGTGGCAAGAAGCTGCACTGCAATCCCAGAAGTTCGAATCCACCAGATGCTCTTCTGGAGAAGGAGGGACAATCTTCTCCTGTACCAGTCAGATCCAATTTGACGGTACACACACAAACAAACAATAATAATTTAAAAAAAAAAAAAGTAGAATGCGTGTGGAGAGGAAGAGCAGGAAATTAACTGACAGATAATGAGTACTTTATTGAAATAAGTGAAGGGAAGGCTAATCTGAAGTGAATGGATGATCATATATATATTGCAATTACCCATCTGGAACAGGATATGTATAAATAATTGTTTGATGGGAAGAGAAAAAAAAATCTAAGGAAAGGTTCAAACATAGATACACAGGAACAGGAGAGGAGAAAGAGGAGAACTGAGATTAGCAGATTGATGAGTATAGAGACAGGAAGGGGTATGGTGAGGATTTGTCAAGACAGTGTAATCAATGGCACTGATCAAATATCATTTTAAAACAAAATTAATATGGAGACGAATGAAAACCAATAAAAAATACAACACTCTTGATTTTCAAATGGGTTTTAAGGTTACATTTGCCACAATTAAAATTGTGTAGTTGAACGTGCAACTGTTGGTCGGTCTCTCAGTGTCTGGGGCAAAAAGGGGTGATGAAAACCAAAGGCTATTAGTCTAAAATACTAATGGACCATGAGAACTTCAGTCCCCACAGAACTCCCCTGAGAACCAAGAACTAAACATCACCCTGTTAGCACTGGAATCACAATAGAAGGTTTCTGATAGGATGGGAGAAAAATGTGAAACAGCATTCTAAATCATAAAACAAAGCAAAAAATGGTCTTCATGAAGAGTTTGGTGGGCAGAGGGACAAGGTAAAGGAACTAGGCAATATCTAATGAGGACCTGAAAAGATGGGATGATAATGGGTGATTGATTTTATGAAACCCACTATATTGGAATGAGTGTATGAACACAATGTGAATGAAGGTGTGAAACACAATGTACACAAATTTTTATGCAAATCAATATTTTATATATGTGTGTGTGTGTGTATTTTTTTATTTTTTTTAAAAACAAACAAGACCAGTGGAACCTCTGAGACACTAGAACTGATATCACCTCTTTAATTCAACTTTCAATTAAGTAATAAACAAAGCTGTAAAGTAATCCAGTCACACCAAGAAAGTATTCACTCCTTTGAACAATAAATACAATATAAGAATGATACAAGATCAGAAGGGCAGCATTTGTCCAGGGATCAAGCTTAGAAGGCAGGAAGGAAAACACACAAAAAAGAATGAATGAAAATGGGAAATGGAGGAACAAACACAGAGAAAGTTATTACAATATGGGGATTATAATCAATGTCACTAAACAAATATGTCTGAATTGTTGAAGAGACCTGAATTGCTTTGTACATTCAAATTACAAGGAAAAAATTTATTAAAAATGCACCTTTCAAGTTATCCATGACAGAGATATAAGAGCTTATTTGTTAATTCTTCTTCTTTACATGTTAACTACAGTAACAATGGAGCCAATATTGGTGAGTTTAGATAACAAAAACACCAAGTATATAGTCAAACTTTCACACCAGTGACATGCAGTGACATACCTTGACTTTATGCATAAACTAGCTCCTTCTTTGTCCACAAAGTTCTGTTGTCTAAGAGCTACAGACCCTGTCATCGCCCTTTGGTTAGATATAGAAAATATTTCCACCCCAGGCTAGCTTCGCTGTTCCTTCATCCAACCCTGGATCCTGTTCTGGGAATAATTTTTCTTGTTTACCCTCCTCCTTTTCACTTCTCATTATGTGCCTAATTATAGTGTTTCCATGAGACACTGATGAGGAAAGGAAGGGGGAAAACAGTCAAATTAGTTGATTTTGTTACTTTTCATTAGTTCTAGCGTTAAGTTTAGACGAGATCTGGAACTCTCAGTAAAAATTATATTTGAGCGGTTAACTGTTACTTCATTTATTTAAGGGATCTTTTTCATTATGCAGACTCATGTGCCAGGTCCCTTTTTGTGGTCTCTTCTTAATGATACAGAAAGAAAAATACAACAACAACACACACCAAACCAAAATCTACTGCCATTAAGTTGATTCTGACTTACCACAACCCTGTACAAGAGGGTAGAAGAGCCCCATAGGACCTCCAAGAAGGCTGTCATCCTTCAGACACCCACATCTTTGTTGGGGAGGAAGAGGGTGGCTGGTGAGTCCCAAACACTGACCTCCAGATCATAGCCACACTCTTTAATCATTACATCACCAGGCTTCTTGTTATTATGCTATTATGTGCCTGTGAAGGGACTAAACTCATAATGACCGTATGTACAATAGCTCTGACCTGCTCTATTCTGGGCCAGTCTCATTGTCTCTGGCATACGTTACCTTCACTACCCATTTCTGTGTCATTTTATCTCATCTGAGTCTTCCTTTCCTACGCTGTCCCTCCATCCTTCCAAAGGATGATATCCTTATCCAAGGACTGGTTGCTCCTGGCAACATGCCCAAAGTATGTGAGATGCACCCTCAAAATCCTTGCCTCCAAGAAGCAGCTTTTATTTCACCCTCTCCAAGATATATCTGTTAGTTCTCTTGGTGGTCCATGGTAGGTTTAATACTCTTCTACAGCACCAAAAACCTCAAAGGCATTAATTCTTCTTCTGTGACCGTTGGTCTCTGTCCAGCTCTCTGATGTATAGGAAGCAACTATGAAGACAATGGCCAGGATCAGGCACACCTTAGTCTCTAGTCTGATACTGTTGCTTTTCAGCACTCTGTAGAGGTCCCTGACAGCAGATTTTACTAATGCAATTCTTCTTCTGATTTCTTGACTGTTGGAGTCAACTGTGTTTACTGTGGAATTGAATAAAATTAGGTACAGAAAATAATGATAAATACATATGCAACCTCAAGAGTTTTCTTTTTCTTTGAGTGTGTCTAAGTATGTGCTTACATACACACAGACAGAGAAGCTTTGTATT